GTGATCATGAACACTAAGCTCAGGAATTTGTGTTTGTTGCAGCATCCCCATTTTCTGTTAAAATAAAGATTTTTTTTTATTTTCAATATGGGAACAAGATAGCTGTTGTTGGCTTCTGGAGAAGCAGTAAGGTTTCCTCCCATCGTGGCTGTGGTGACTGTCGTGGCTTTCATTACAGGTGTGGTGCAAGGGGTTGTTTAGCTTGTTCCTCTGCATGGACGTCTCCCAGGGGTGAGCGGGAGAGTTGTCTTCCCTCCTCACCATTCACTTCCAGCCCTGCCCTGGGAAATGCCAGCCGAACAGAAGCTGGGTCCCTTTGGACACCTCATTATTTCAGTTTGCCAATGGCATTGCTTTTCCTCCCTTGGTAGTTTGGCTGTGGGTGTTTGTGCCTTCTCATTTTCCATGCTCTTAACTCTCTGAGGCTCTTCTTTGCCTGCCTCCTCTTCCTTTCAGAAAGGTTTGTTTTCTGGCAAAAGCCAAATCTGCAGCCCTCTCCCCAAGCCTTCCCTCCCAGTGATGTTCAGTTTGCTGTGGTGTTTGCTACCAGGCTCCGGTCAGACCTGCTTCAGCACAGCCCTGCTTCTGGAGACCTGTGAGTTAGATGGGACCTTTGCTCACCCTTTACAAGGTGTTTTGAGGACTTACGATGAATTGCAAGGAGTAAGCATTGCTATAAACTGCAGCAGCAACTGTTAAAGCAAAATGTGAGACATTAAGTGCGCGGATTAGCCTCTCGGTCCAAAGAGACTCCAGGTCTGCTGGATGTGCTGGGATTAGAGCCTGGTCCTTGCTGAAGGTCTCAAAGTCCTTTGTTGGCCCAGAAATGATGAACTGCTTGGTCCTCGGTACAGTTGCACGTGCAGTTGTGATAACATGCTTGGAGGTACCTGTTGCTCCTTGGCCCTCAGGCATCTCCACACATAGGACCCAGTGCCTGCAGGGCAAACCTCTACTCCTGACTGGTCAATATGCTGATACAAGCCAACAGTTAAGAGTTCAGACAAGGCAGCAAAACATTAGGTTTTTAAACCTAGTTTAAAACCTAGTTTTAGTGTCATTAGACACCAAAATGTCTCTGATTCAGGGTCCAGGAGGAGCTGAAAGACACTGATGCACATGTTAGTATCACTGGAATACCAGTACAGGGATCCTGGCCCAGGTCTCCCATTGCTGCTAGAAAAGGTAATCCTGATTTACACCAGGATGTAACTTATGCTCTCTGTGTCCCTTGCTCCACTGCAAACAGTGAAACTGCCTCTCTCAAGGGTGGGGACGGGGAATACCTTCAAGGGAATAGGATGAGCCGGCTGATTCGAAGACCCAGTAGTAACCTGACAGCGGGTATCCTTTACTACGGCACCAGGCATGCAGGGGATCTCTCCTCCAAACGTGCATGCCAAACACCCTTTCATTTCAGGTTAAATACAATTACAATATACATATTGATTATATTTCCAAGAAATGCTTAGCATATTCATGGATTTTCTGGGAACCAATTAGCATATTAATGATTTTCACGCATGTCTGTTGACACCTGCGGGTGGTCGTCGGGGTTCTCAGGGCTGCCGGAGGCGCCCGGCACGGACCACCTAAGCTACGTTTGCAGGTTGAGCTAAGATCACGTATACCGTGTCCTTCCAGGTTGTTTGCTCTGATCTTGTTGCCATCTCGGTGCCTCTTTATCTCTGTAGTTTGGTGCATCCGCTCTCCCAAGGCCGAGCTGTCTGGAGTAGAATTATTTAGGAGTCTCTTATCCTACAGCTATCCCAACTATCCACTGAGGACCAAGACTTGCTTTGGTTTTAATTATTTTGTCTAATGACTTAAGGTGATAACTTCTATCTACATACTTCCACTACATTCCTAGGTAGAAACAGGGATTAGTACAGTAGTTACAGCGTTAGATCACTATGTATGCAAGAATACTGACTGTAATAATAAAAACTACTAACATCTAGAAAATATTATTAAAGCTACTTTATTATAGTTTCACTTTTCTTATGATGCCTTCTATCACAGCCATATCCCTGTGTATCCCAAGAGATTATTTCATTCATGCGCTTTCTTCCACTTCTCCTCAAGGTTCCCTCCAGGTCCCTTCTTCCCATTAAGCCTGTGGTGTTTGAGTCACTGAGTGGGAATGGAGGAAAAGGAAGTTAATTTCGAGCTGTTTTGTAGTTTCCTGAGTTTTGGCTGACTCTGCATGGCTTTAGGTGTGATCTGGCTCTCTACTACTCTTTCTGTGGCCCTTCAAGGGTGTCTTGCTGTGATGAAAAGAAATAAAGACCTTGAAATCGGGGGTGAGGGGTGTATTAAATAATTACCAGCAGCGCTTTGTCCTGAAGGGTTGTGTGGATCTGCACCTGTGCTCCCACTGGTTGCACTGGTATTGCTCAGCAAATGAGGGACAGGGCCCAGACTCTGAAGGCAAGTGGTTCAGACAGCCCGGCATCTCCACCCCCTATCCTAGTCTCCTTCCACCTCTGTTGCTTCCAGAGCACAGGGTAATCTTGGATGGGATGCCATGAGCAGATGGCTGTGAAAGTGCTTACCTCCCAAAGTCCATTTTGCATAGGTCTTCTACAACCTGGGGTTAGTTATGACTCTCTGAGGAGGTCCTGAAGGCTGATCTTGTATCTCAGCAGGGCAGGGAAGGAATATCACTGTGGTGCCTGGGGGATGGACCCCACAGAAGTCCGTTCATCATCAGGTGCAAGGTCATTGCTCCTTCTACTGCCACTGCATATGGGGGTAAAAGAAACAAGGCAGTCCAAGCAAGGTCCACATGACATTGCCACATGTAGCTCAGCTCAGAAAAGATCTCCAGGGTTACCTGAAGGAATTTTTAACTTTTAAAACCCAAGGGTTAGATCAACAGTTATTCCTAAAATTGTTTTAAAGCTAGTAAACAAGTGAGGCAAGAGCTCAGAGAACGGCCAGGTCTGGTTTCCTCAGACCTCTCTTTTGTCTCTTCAGATGGGTCTGTGTAGCTCTTAGCTTTCTTAATTCTGTCCCCAGGGTCTTTTGGAGTGATAGCAGACTGATGACTGCAGGATAATTCCCACTAAAATGACCCACCTTGGGTTCCTGGTGTCTGTGGTTTGTCTGGCCAAGGCCAGCTTCTGATGGATGGTCTTTTTTCAGGACTTCTTCTGGAATTCAAAGTGATAGCCTCCAGGGATCATTCTGGGTTCTTGTAAGTCAAATGTGACACAGTCCAGGGGCTGGCACAAGCCTTTTGTAAAGATATTTTAGAATAACTGTTTTCTGGAGTTTGTTGAACACAGTTTGAGTTCCCAAAGTGTCCTGCAAACATGGCATGTGGCAGAAGCCAATCTGAGTCACAGATAGGATGGAGAGAACCCAAACGACTTGACTCCACACAATGTCTAAAGCTTTGTGCTGAAACCCCTGCACTCTCCAAGTGTGCAAACCAATGACTACACCCCAAAGACACCATAGCACACTTCCAGAAGTCAGGCCTTTTCCATGGTGCACCTAAAACTGTAGCTGTGGTTTAGCTGTTGTGTCACGGGGCCACTTGGCAGAAGGCTGGGGATGGCGCCGCTCTTCAGGATTCGCAGCCTCATGGACCCACCCAGCACCCTGCAAAGAGAAATGCATTCACTACTATTCCCCTTAACTCTATCTGCTGTCTGGACAACCCACCAGCATATCACCAGTGTTCTGGATTTAATCATGCCAAGCAATTTCTGGGGAATTAGTGGTTCCACGTTGGGAATGATGGTCTTGATTGTGCTCATGTGGGCTCAGAGCATCCCTACAGTGCCTGGAAAGAGGTTGTTTGTGTTGTTTGCACCTTGGACCTGCTTCTCCACCTGGCCCAAAGAGACAAGGACGAAGGCACAGACTGTGCCTGGGTTCCCCTTTCCCAGGTCCACTAAGGTGAAGCCCAAATATGACCACCCTGTCCAACGTTGGGCAAGTCCATATGAGAGCAGGCAGACCCATGCTGAGCTGCTGGCATCCACTTGCTTCTGCAGGAGCAGTGTGGAGCCAGACTCCTGCCAGCTGCGCCATCCAGGAGAGGACACAGGTTCCTGAGGGACAAGCTGATTAGAAGTCAAACTTGTAGCATTGCAGAGATGGGGGCCAAACTAACATGAGTGCAATCAGCAGGGTGAGGGAAATTATTCTTTCCCTCTGTCTGGCATTTGTTAATCCCCATCCAGGCACAGTTTTGGGGTCTCCAGAAGAAACAGTGTCAGACTGAATCGAGCATGTTGGAAGCCACCGAGAGCACAGGACATATGAGGAGAGTCTGAGAGAAGTGGGTTTGGGCATCCAGGAGGAGGGAAGGCGAAGAGGGAGCTTATTGCTGTCTGCAGCTACGTAATGGGAGGGTGTGGACAAGACAGAGCCAGACTCTTGCTGGAGATGCACAGTTACAGGACAAAAGACAGCAGCACAAGCTCCAGTTTATCTTCAGTGGTCAGAAACTAGAAAAGGGCCCCAGAGAGGCTGTGGGATGTCCGTCCATGGAGATACTCAGAGATGGACTGGACAAAGCCCCGAGCAACCTAATTTAACTTTGAAGTAAGTCCTGCTTTGAACAGCAGGTTGGACCAGACCCCTCCAGAGTCTTCTTCCAATGTAAATTATCCAATGAGCCTACACTCAGGGAAAGCCACTGCCACCCAGACCTGTCGGCTGGCATCCCTGGCTGCACGCCTTCGCTTCGGGATAACGAGCCACGGTTGTCAGGGAGGTTGCCAGGGAGGCTGACATCAGACATCGCTTCCCTATAGATTATTGTGCACAGCAGCACCATCAGTTCCTCATCCGCAAACGAGGTGGGAGGGCACCCAGAGGAAGCCCCGGAGCAGGTTCTGCGTCACTGGCCTGGGTTGCCTAGCACTGCTGGGACCGTGGAGAGGGGGCACCAGCTCTGGGGGCTTGGAGGCTTTTTTACCCCCCGCGTGTCCTGTTTGAGAGCCAAACGTTGCTGAGGACGTAGCAGAGGAGCAACCAAGGTGATGGCAGCCAAAGAAGGGATGCTCGAGCTGCCCTTTGTCCATGATGACCAGCTCACCCGGTGCATGCGGCTGCGATTCCAGAGCCTGCAGCAAAAAAACATGAGGCCCCAGGATGGCGAGAAGCTGCTGCGTCCCAATGAGCACGTCTACCGAGTGGATTTCATCCGGCAGCACAACCTACGCTTCATCCGCTGGGACATCCAGCTGGAGAGACCTGGGAAGGTCACAGTGACCGGCACCTCCCAGCACTGGACTCCTGATCTCACCCACCTTATGAACCGGCAGCTGCTGGAGCCCGTGGGCATTTTCTGGAAGAAGCCAGGGGCCAAGGAGGTGGAGTGCAACGAGGCAGATGCCCAGGAATTTGGGGAGCGGATAGCGGAGTTAGCCCAGATCCGCAAGGTGATGTATTTCCTCCTCACTTTCACCGATGGCCTCGAACCAGCGCAGCTGAAGGGCTCCGTTCTTTTTAAAGCCTGATCCCCTCTTGCTCAGCCCTTCTTGCTCCTGCTATGCTTTTGCCTTCGTTTTTCTTTCTCTCAGTTCAGTTCTTGGTTGTTTTTACGTGGTTCTTCGTTGAGGGACGGTGTCACGTAAAAGTGAAGGACAGCTCGGCGCTTCTGGAGCATTCACCCTTTCAAGACGTTCCCCATACATGCTGTCTTCTGTCTGAATGATGGGGAGGAGGGAGGACGGGCTGTGAGCTTGCTGCTGTATTTGCCTAGAGCATAAGACTGCATGCTTGTGAATTAAGCAGGGAATCACCAGGTCCGACTGGGGCAGGGTCTTGCTGGCTTGGAAATGTGAGGCTGCCCTAAGCCCTGCAGCTTTAGCACCTGGATAATAAAATCCTGATGGAAAAATAAGAAATTGCCATACTACAAACAGGAGAGGCAACCTGGAGAGAGTGTTGGCTTCCAGTTTCCATCCTAGCCATTAACAAGGGAGGGCTTTTTTGCAATGGAGTGCTGCTCCTTGCAAGGACGCTGAGCGCTTGCAGGCGGCAGTGACTCTCACTGTCACTGTGGCTGCTCTGTGTCTCTGAAGACCAGTCCCGTGGAGGATCACCTTGCCGTGAAGCTGAACTACATTTGGACATGCCGTGTGCTGCAGATTGAAAACCCATCAGACAAACCGGTGCTGGAAGGTTGGACCATCCTTTTCCTGACAGCCGTCACCTGTCAGTGTGGGGAGGTGTTCTCCAGCACGTTGCTCACCTTGGGCTGCCTGGAGGTTGTTGGTCCCAAGATGGGTTGAAGCAGGCGTGCGTGTGTGTGCAGAGCCAGGCGAGTGAGCCAGCAGCTCAGAGCAGACTGTAGGGCTGAGCCAGCACTCAGTACCCTGCAGCAAAACCAATTTGTGCATTGCTGTGGCCTTAAAGCACCCATGAATATATTTATTCTGAAGCATCTATACAGAGACGTGAGGCTGCAGAGCACTTTGAAAACCACAGAGCAGGAACCTGCTGCTTCTGTCCCCAGAAAACAGTGTCTCCTACCTTCCCCAAATGCTGAGGCAGGGTGGCCATGGGAGCACAGAGGAGAGACAGTACCTTTGCAAGTTTAGGAGCGGGAGGATGTTTTGTGCCTGGCTTGTCCCATCACTGTGAATAAACTGCTAACTTTGGATGTTCCCCTTTCCTCCACCAAAAAGTGGAAGGTACTTTGGTGAAGTTTCTTGAGATCTGCAGGTAGAAATGTCCTTTGAAAGAGTCAAGCTTTATTACAAATGGTCCTTTGCTAAGATTGCACACAAATGTGTGTGAGTGCTCCTCGAGGTATGGATTGATATTTTCCTCAGATGTGTAAGGAGAGGGCAGTGATGGGAAAGCCAGGACAAGGTACTTTGTACTCATGGCCTGCTGACTTGTGCAGACCATCCCCAAACCCATCCAATCTCTTCCTAAAAGCCTGCAGAGATGCAGACTACATGCCCTCCTCAGCCCAGTAATACTGGATAAAATGATTTGCACAAGCTCTGCCAGGCAGAGAGGAGAAAGAAGGCAGGAGGATCAGCTGCTGGCTGGAGAGTTGGTGGGAGCTTTGAGTCTTGCGCACGACTAAAGCTCAGCAAACACCAAGTCATACAGCCATGCCGTGGGCATTACTGGAGAAGTTGATGTCTTTGTTTAGACACCAAGAAATACTGGACTCAGTGAGGAGAGATAAAAGTGGATGCATCCCTGCTTGGCCATAGCATGGACCCACTGTGAGCCAAACCCAGTTCTAGAGTTCTGGCAGACTTTCCCAGAGGAGACCCCTCCCAGACCAGAGCTCCTGACTGAAAACCACATTAGACCACTTAACAGGGGCCACTACCAACATCCAAAGGGGCTTTTGCATGCCAGGTCTCACACTATGCCGTTGCTATGTTGCTGGTTGCTGGGGTAGAGTTCCTGCTGCAGAAACCTCGCTGGATATTGATGTACCACAGTAAATAAAAGCCCAGTCAACAGGGTTCCCCTTAAGGACTGAGACTGTGCGTGTCTTCTTTGTGCCCTTTTTGGAAGCTGCCCCAGTCCTGCATGCAATAAATCAGCACCCGACTGTTTTCAACTTGCTTGGTATTTTTGAGCACCTTTTCATCTCCTGTAAAAAGTAAAATGATTGTTTACCTTCTTTTCTCTTGGTGTGAAAGGCTTGATGGAGCATTGAGCAGTTTTGTATGGTTTGGGGAGGCATTTGAAGCTGGGCAGAGGGGAAACGATCCTCAGGTGGATCCTCCTTTCCATCAGAGCTGGAGGTGGGAGGTGAGTGGGGCAGTCTGATCTCTCTGCTGCAGGGAAGATGAGCCTCTTTATACCAGTCAGTGAAACTCTTTCAGCAGATTGGCATGGCTGGGTCATGCCCTCCCATTCCTCAGCTGGCAAGTTCCCAGCAGAAGAGCCCCTGCTTGGAGGAATCAGCATCTAACAAGTCCTCCTTCTAATCAGGATGTTTCTCCAGGGTCACAGGTGCTCAATTAGCCACTCCTAAGAAAAATGAGAAAAAGCTGTAAACCAGCTTAGGGAAATGAACCTAGTGTTTCTGGGCTCCCAATTTCCCTGTCTCTGAGCCCTTTCACTGGAAATTTGTCCCACAAGAGTGTTACAGCTCCAGGTTTTGGGAGCCCCTAAGCAAAAAGCAGTACAGTTGAGTGAATGAGGAGACATGGTCTCCACTGCTTCAATGCCACACAACCAAGTCGAGTCCAGGACTCAGTGGGATCTCAGGATGGATGGTCCAGGGCATGCTCTCTCTCCAGTACCCACTGAGGAGGGATGGAGATGTATGGGGAGGTTTCCTGGGAGTGGGTGGGAGCCATGGACCTCAGTCGCATGATGATCTCCTGGAGGCATCTGGGCTCCAGCTACTGCTGGGATTTGTAGATGTGCCCCAGGTTAATCTTTCAGGTAATGCACAGCATTAGGTCACAGGCAGGGATCATGCTGTGTGCCTTCGGGTCTGGAGTCCCGACAGGCACTGCATCCAGAGCTGCCACTTCTCCTGTATGGCCAGGGGACTCACAGACATCTTGACCAGGGGGTGAAGCAACTGGAGGGATCTTGGCCCAGGTGCGATGCTGTGCTCTGAGAGGAGCTGGGGGGAGGAACCTGATGGTTGAGCTCACACCTTGCACTTGGGCAGGTTGAGGACAGGCTGGGCTCTGAAGATCGGGCTCCTCTCCTTCCCCCTTGGGTCGGTGCAGAAACACGACCAGTCCTTGCTCCTGGATCCTGCTCTGCATGAAGGCTGTCCACTTTTGCTGCCTTCTGAGTCAGAAGGTGTTTTCAACGTTGTCAAGAAATGAAGGGACGGAGGAGGATGGTAGGGACTGGTATCTCCTGCCACCAATGACAGTAATGGCAAGTCTCAGAACCAGCCAGCTGGAAGCTGTCACTACCAGCTCTGGCTGACAAGCTGCCTCTAATCAGTGTCGTAACCATTGCGAAGACTGCATTAATAGCAAGTTCATTAGCACAATGGTCGTCTATGACAATTCATTAGGATGAACTCCAGTCAGGAGGGAATCGATGGGAGCTGATGGAGGGCTATCTGACTTTTCCTGGCCCTCTCCCAGAGGGAGTCTGGGACATTGTTGTTAGCACTCCTGGAAAAGACCAAGCCCTCAGAAAGTGGCTCCTTTTCATGGCTCTGACTGCTCTGCTTCTATTGATCCAGACAACTGAAGAGTGCCAGTGAGCTTTCAGGGCTGATCGCATCATTAATATTTCAGTGTAGGAGCAATAAAAGCCCGGGTCTGGATCGTTGCTGGCAGCTAAGCAGTCAGGGGGCTCTCCACAGAAAAGTCACTCTGCCAGGTTACAGCTTCGTGACCACAGCCAGAAAAAAACCAGAAGGCTCTGGCAGCTGGACAAGGGCCAAGGCATGGTGCAGGGGGTCTCACCATGGCCTGGGACTTCATTGAGAGCCTCTTTCCACACAATGTATAGAATCATAGAATCATTAAGCCAACACCACCATGCCTGCTAAACCATGTCCTGAAGTCCCACATCTACATGTTTTTTGAACCTCTCCAGGGATGGGGACTCTACCACTTCCCTGGGCAGCCTGTTCCTATGGCTGAACACTCAGTAAAGAGATTTTTCCTAATATGTAGCTGTGTCCTGTCCTATCCCACTCCAACACTCGCAGTTGTCTCCACAGGACACTGATTATTTGGTGTACTGGAACATAATTTACCCTGTGGGCACGTTGGGGTTTTACCTCACTTAGGGCATGACACTTTGGGAGTAGGTAAGTAAAGACGCAAAGGTGTGGACAGTCAGTCACATTACTGCAGTTGAATCAGTCAGTACTTGTCAACTATCAACTACATTAACTGTACATGGCCTCACAGCCCACCCTAGCCATGAAGTAAAATCATGTGGCCTTCACCCTCAACAAAAGGTAAACTGTGATGGGTTAGTTCCTTGCTGTGTGCCTCTGTGTCCTGGTTCTAAATAAAATGAAGATCCTCCTAGATGCGGCATCTATGCATGGCTGTGCCCATTTCTGTCCCAACTGTTGGGTGTATTTTCCATCTAAAGCAAAGCTGGTGGTGTCTGCAGCCATGAAGGACTATGGGCATTGACAGTTACCCTTCACTTGTGCTTTGTCCCACTGGAAGTGCAGATGGCAGTGACACCAACCCTTCACTCCCTCAGCCCCTCAGCCTCTCTAAGGTTTCTCGTACCCCACATCCTCTTCTCCTTCTTTCAGCAAGTCACCTCCCCATGCTTGCTTGGATGAGTATGGTAGCTCTTGACAGGGAAGAATGGAGACCTTGTGGGGATGATGATCTCAGTTTTCCCACTTTTATTTAGCAGAGTAGATGTACACAGAGTGTCTGGTCCCTGTTCATTGCCACCAGGTAGACGAATACAACACTCGCTCTTGTGCCAGTGAAGAGAAGAGAATCAGAGAAGGTGCCCTCTCTTAGTGGTATCCTGCTGACACTAAAAAGGACAAAAATATGGTCATAAAAATAACCATCCCTGG